CACGACAAAAATATATATTTTAATATTATTATATTTTCTAGAAAAATAATAGTATTCTCTTTTAATACAGTCATTTCATTTGTTTTTTTAATAATTTTTTATTAGATTAAAAATCCATAAAATCTTCACTTTTTGTTATTATTTAATAATTTTTCCACTAAATTATCATTATTATTATTTACCCAATAATTTTTTTTAATAGTATTTATCGAATTATGTTTTATTGCATTTTAATGGAACAAAATAATATCTTCTAATTATTATTATTATTATTATTTTTTTTTTATAACTAAAATAATTATAACAGTACAAATATGGATTTGACGGAATTAACGAATAATGTATAAAATTTTTGTTTTATTTGTGATTATAATGATAGAATAATTGGTATGTAACATATTGATTATCCTAAAATTAAGGAGCATTTTCTTCTTCTTCTAATCCTCTTTTTTAATAAAGAAACAAAATTAAATTAATGAATACATTAAAAGACATAAGAGAATGATATGGGTTTTGTGACATGTACATATATACATTTATATGATGGGTGAAAGGAGAGTGTATGTGGTCGTGTCAAAGTATTAAGCAGCTATGTCCCGCAAGTCCACCTCTTAAAGTCCCCCTCTCTCACTCACTTGGTTTTTATATAATTATGTGATTGATTTTCCACCAATCCAACACGTGGTCTTCTCTTACATCTCCACACTTCCCCTTCTTCCCCCTTCTCCATCTTCTATATATACCCTTCTTCTCTCTCTCCTCCTTCCCCAAAATCCACACTGCAAAACTACTTTCTCCAAACTGCAGCTCTTCTTTCTCTCTTCTGGGTCTCTGCAACTCTTCTTTCTCTCTTCTGGGTCGTAATCTAATTCATCGCCATGGCTTCACCTGCGCCTACTTCTACTACTTGGATTAAGGGTAAGCTTCTGTCATCATCATCATCATCACCATCACCATCATCATCTTCTTCTTCTTCTTCATTGCTTAATATGGGCTCTTCCTCTGCTTCCATTTCCTTCAACAGGCCCAGTAGGAAGCCCAACATATCTTCCTCTCTTCATACTCCTTCCATTCTCCATTTCCCCAAACAATCCCCTACTTACCCACCATCTCCTTCTACCCCAATTGTCTCTCCTCCCAAACACCCAAAAGACAAATCCCCTTCTTCTTCTTCTTCTTCTTATTCTCAACAATCGAATTTCCTCCAAAAAGCAGCAGCCATGGCCTTGGATTCTTTAGAATCTGCTTTAGTTTCCCACGAGCGTCAACACCCACTTCCCAAAACTGCTGACCCTACTGTTCAAATCGCCGGAAACTTTGCTCCCGTCCCAGAACAACCTGTCCGACAATCCCTCCCCGTCACCGGTAAAATACCCGATTGCATTCAAGGCGTCTACGTCCGTAACGGAGCTAACCCACTTCACGAACCGATCGCCGGTCACCACTTCTTTGACGGTGACGGAATGGTCCATGCCGTACGGTTTGACAAGGGTTCCGTCAGCTACGCTTGCCGGTTCACCGAAACGCACCGTTTTGTTCAAGAACGTGCTCTGGGTCGCTCTGTTTTTCCTAAAGCCATCGGCGAGCTCCATGGCCACTCCGGCATAGCTAGGCTCCTTCTCTTCTACGCCCGTGGCTTATGCGGCCTCGTTGATCCCAGCCATGGCACTGGCGTCGCCAACGCCGGACTCGTCTATTTTAACGGTCATCTTCTCGCCATGTCTGAAGATGATTTACCTTACCATGTTCGTGTCACTCCTTCCGGCGACCTGAAAACCATTGGCCGATATGATTTCGATGGGCAGCTTAAATCCACCATGATCGCTCACCCGAAAGTCGACCCATCCTCTGGCGAGCTTTTCGCTCTGAGCTACGACGTCGTACAGAAGCCGTACCTGAAATATTTTCGGTTCTCTCCCGACGGGAAAAAGTCGCCGGATGTTGAAATTCCGGTTGATCAACCCACAATGATGCATGATTTCGCCATTACTGAGAACTTGGTGGTGATTCCTGATCAGCAGGTGGTGTTCAAGTTGCCTGAAATGATTCGAGGTGGGTCTCCTGTAATTTACGACAAGAACAAGATGTCAAGGTTCGGGATATTGAAGAAGAATGCGACTGATTCTTCTGAGCTGAAATGGATCGAGGCTCCTGATTGCTTCTGTTTCCATCTCTGGAATGCTTGGGAAGAGCCGGAAACAGATGAAGTAGTCGTGATTGGATCCTGCATGACTCCACCGGACTCCATTTTTAACGAATGTGATGAGAGTTTAAAGAGTGTTTTATCAGAAATCAGACTGAATTTGAAAACCGGTAAATCAACTCGCCGGCCGATTATCTCCGGTTCTGAACAGGTGAACTTAGAAGCAGGGATGGTGAACCGGAACTTGCTTGGAAGAAAGACCCAGTTCGCATATTTAGCTCTGGCGGAACCATGGCCAAAAGTTTCAGGCTTTGCAAAAGTTGAACTTTCAACCGGAGAGGTAAGAAAATACATGTACGGCGAACAAAGGTATGGGGGAGAACCTCTGTTTTTCCCTAACCCTAATTCTGAGAAAGAAGATGATGGATATATTCTAGCTTTTGTACACGACGAGAAGACATGGAAATCAGAGCTTCAGATTGTTAACGCCATGAATTTACAGTTGGAAGCGGTTGTAAGCCTTCCATCTCGAGTTCCATATGGGTTTCACGGAACCTTTATTTCCTCCAAGGATTTGGAGAAACAGGCTTGAATTTGATAGGTAAAATTGAATAGTGAAAGTGGAGATTTACCAGAGGGATGCTCTGCATATACGTCCCCGGAATCTCCTCCTCCTCCCTGTATTTATTTGATTTACTCTGTTCCTGGCATTATATTGTTTAGATTTTACTTACAGAGTGAAGGGTTTTGGTGGAGCAGCTTGTAGCTTTTGGGTGTAGTTAGCATTTGAGCTCAGCTGCCTTCCGCTCATTCCTTCACTTTTCTCCATTTATTTAATTTCACAATACAGTGTATATCTCACGTGTATGTTCATATTTCAGTCTCTGTTTCTCCTCCTGTCAATACACCCAATTTCTTTTCCTCCATTTTACCATTTCCCAATTTTCATTTCTACTCCGATTCTACTCCAATTCACAAATTTTTATACATTTTTTAAACTTTAAATTGGGTGTGATTGAAAATGAGGGTATATAATAGAAATCCAACATCAGATTTTATTTGTATTAATATGTTGTTTAAGTAAAAAAGTTTATATGGTTTGAATTGAATTTTATAATTTTTTTTTTTTAAAAAAATTTTGAGTTGGGTATGATAAAAAATAAGAATGTATAAAAAAACCCACGTGAAATTTTCTTTTGTCAAATTAAAAATGTATATATTATTGATTCAAATTTACAATTTTAGACAATTTTCTTTTAATTTTGAATTGGGTATGATAGAAAATAAGAATATATATAATCAAAACCCAAGTGAGATTTTATTTGTATCAACAGGTTGTCATAGGTCTATTTCTAGAGATATTTGACGGTTGGTCTATTTTTATATATATATTTATATTTATATATATATATATAGAGAGAGAGAGAGAGAGAGAGAGAGAGAGAGAGAGAATTGGAGCAATGAACAAACAACAAAAATCCACGTTGAATTATTAAATCATTTAAAAAATTCTGGATTAAGCACCACCTGGACATCTCTCCAATTTTAAAATTTGTCAATTATAAATGTGATATAAAAATTTAATCCACATATGACATGAAATGACATTATATCTTTCCTCTTCTGGTCCCTCCCCAGTCTCCTACTCGTTTATAGATTTTTAACAATTATTGGAAAATATATTTTCCTGAAAATTAAATTGGGTAATTGTAGAGTTATTAAAGGAGATTGAAGAGTGATGTAAGATTCTTGGGAATATCACATCAGATGTTCTGCACCTGTTAGAAATGGTGGGGGGGTGGGGGGGGGGAGGGGATATTGATAGTGGCAAGGTGTGATTGGGAAGTCTTATTAGGTTCGAGGATTGACCAATCAGGAACTAAGGACATTAATCTTAATTAATTAATTATTAATAATTGTATTAATTAGTGGGTACGTAATGGAAAACTTGACAAAATCCAACACTACACTTGCTGATTTGACTCTCAATAATAACTGTCTAATCTCCCCCCTCTCGTGATAAAAACCATAAAAAAGTCAACTTTCCATGAAAATTAACAAAGCTTCTTGTAACCCTTTATGTCTTCTGAAGTAGAATGCAGATTGAGGATGGTGATTATTATTTCTTTATAAATGCAAATTAATGGGTGCATACGCAATGTTCCTATACACATATATATATATATATATGATGGGGAATGAATTTTATTCAAGGATATTTTTTTATTCAGCTGTTGGCCTATTAGGATCAGACCAATTCAAGCAGCAAACAGCACATACTTGTCGTCCTATTTGTTGAAAGCTTCATCTACTTTTTTCAGGGCCTACAACCCTCAACAATACACACACACACACACACACACACACTTATGTATCTATGTATGTATGTATACATACATATATTCGCATCCCAATTCAAATGTCTCAAATTCTTTCTTCCCCTTAGAATATTCTTTCAAATCAAGTTGATTTTGCTATTTTATAATGATATTTGAATATATTGGGACTGGGGATTAAGAAAGATTATAATTTTAAATGGAAGTTTTATCACTTTAACGGAAGCTGTATTGATCACTTCAATCTTTATTTTGATTTATTTGTTTAAAATTCATATTACCCACCAAGTATACATACATACATATATATATATATATATATGCTCTATATGTATATATAAAAGGAGAAAGGTAGGGATATCAATGCCATGTAAAGTGAAGACTTCTGTAGTGATGATATAGGGAGGTATACATTGATCAGTATAATGAGTTAATAGTGTCTTGTCTACAAGAACATTGGGGTTGGTTTGTTGGGTTGATAGTGGGAGCTCATATTGTCATCGTCTTCCCTTTATTATATACATATGCATATCTATACATGCCACTGTGAAGTTGACATTGGACATGAGGGTTCCAGTCAGACTTATCATGTAATTAACCCATTCTGTCCCCTCTGCTACTTGCAATAAAGCAACCATTCTTTCATTGTAATCCCGTTGTTTTCTCCTGTTTCTTTTTTTTTTTTTTTTTAATTATTTATATTTTCTTTTCCTCTATTTTGTATGCGAAATATTTTCCCTTCATATATACATTTATTTAATGGGATATACTCTTCCGATCTCTCTCTCTCTCTCTCTCTCTCTCTATATGTATGTACATATATATATATATATATTTATCTAGGGATAGGGACATTGTGCATATATCTTTGTGGAGAATAATTTGACTGCTTAATTTTAAAATTAATCAAAATTCAATAAAATTAAAGTAACCCAGTTAGCTAGTTGTTTCAGTTAATGGTATGTATGTGGGGGTTACGTTTGCATGAAAGTTAATGAAGGAAAAAGGTAATGCATATGTGTGTGTGTATGTATATATATATATATATATAAGAAAGAAAAAGAAAGAGAAATAATAATATAAAATAAGGGGAGAATAATGGATTTTAAGAGAAGGAAAAGCGTTGAAAAATACTAATAATAATATACCAAAAGAGGAATTAA